CCCCAGTTTTTTGGGCAGTCGGGCAATATTCAATCAACAGTCGGGCAATTTTGGTTAGTTATAAAAATAAATGGGACAAATTCTGTCAATTTTGTCGAAAATTTTGTTAATTTTGTGGGAAATGTATTTTTTTTTGGAAAATTTGTGCGATGTTACGAAAAATTTTGGTATGTCTGGAAAATTTTTTTGGTACTAGTCGGGCACAATCACGAAAGTCGGGCAATTTTTTTTCCGCCCCCCTAAATTTTTCCTTCCGGTACGCCCATGGTTGGGCGAGATATTGTAAACCGGCCTCTGAATGTAAGCCAGCTAGCCCTGGGCTTGTATTCTAATATGTATGGCTATTAAAGCTGCATTAATAAATATACCTGGAGCCAATTGTATCAAGCCTGTTTAGCTTAAACGTTGGTTAAGCTCAAAATAGAAAGCAACTCAGACTCTATAGATTCATTCAACAACCCTCTATTAACTATGAACAACCAAACTAGAAGTTTTGAACCTTAATAGAATGATGTTTACAACTACATATTCAGTGCAGAATATTTAAGTTGACTGATTTATGAGAAATTAAGCTAAACAGGCTTGATACAACCGGCCCCTGTCAAATAATATAAGCCCATGGGCTTGTACACACAGGCCTGGCTTACATTAGAGGAGGGAGGGGCTTATATTCGGAATAGCCTGAGTAAATATGATGGGATTATACACAGGGGGGCTTATATTGGGGGGGAGGGGGGGGGCTTATATGTTTATGGTAATTGCGTGATTGCAATGGGTATTGAATGGTTTGAACCTGATGTCTTTGGCCTAGCCGCCTAGCTAGCAAAGTATTTGTTCACTTGTCTACATGTAAGTGAGATTTCATATAACTACACAGTAATTATAAACAACTGCTGGCAAGAACCTGGCAAGGATATCACTCAAAGTTTGTCAAGGAAAATTTAATATACTAAAATACTAAATAAATACAAGTGTGCAGACACTACAGCAAGGACTTTGAAATCATATTAACCAGCCATGAAACCCTACGCAAATATCGCTACTATAGCAGTAGTAGTACCAAATCAAAAGAACAATAAAATGTACAGAATTGCCAACCATTTACAGGTTGTTATGTCTGCTAATAATTTGCTGTTCATATACTTTTATGTTCGTAGTATTATAAACTTTGTAGTTTGTACTTCTGCTTCAAATTTTCTACAATATATAAAAATCTTACCGGTGAATAAAAAGATTCTTCTTGTACATCTACGAGCGGCGCAAAAAGGCAGGATCCTCGACATTGTAAATCAACCAAGTTATAGGAGAAAAATATCAAGATTTTCAGTGCGATTTTTACCTCAAAAACAAGCGAAATCATAAAATATCTGTGCTGAAACCAGGGGCACAGAATAGGAAGTTATACCAGAAGCGTAACTCGAGCAAATATTTGTTCGCATTTTTACAAGCGATTCGTCATCAATCACGCCATCTGGCTAGTACAACCGGCACTTTGTACGAATTGTACCTACCAAATCCTGATAAAAACTTCCGGCTGTACTAGCCAGGATGGCGTGGCCTGACGTGAGCGAGTTAAAAATTTTCGTGGACGTCAGGCTTCACTTTTTTTTCCCGAGCAGGTCCTCCAGTAATATAGTATAGCTCAGTGGTTGTGATACGTACTTGATAACAAGTGATCATCTTCCGACAACTTCCGACCACCTCGCGAAAAATCTCCAACATGGGATGGGCGAACCAGCTTTTTCATTCCACACGATATTTCTTCGATATTTGCCGGGGGTTTTCGATACCGATATCGATATTTTCCCAACTCGAACAACCATAACAACAAAAAGACTATTTTTAATCGTTAACAACGGCAACAACGCTAACAATATAAACATTGAATAACATATGTCAGTGATTGCAACCAGCATAACCAGAAACTCCCATCCTGCCCCTGGATCATTATAGCACCATAGAAAATGAACTACTTTTATAGTTTAAAGATAAAGAGCAGAGCCCAGCGAATAACTTTAAGCCAAACATAATAAAAGTAAAAAATTTTATTAGCTATTTTAATTACGCCTATTTAGGCTCTTTGGTCTCATTTGGATATAGATTCATGTCTCGCTGTTTCAGAGGCGTAGCCAGGATTTTTGGTCAGAGGGGGCCAGCAAAAACCCAGGTGGGGCCAAAAAAATTTTCCGGACCACAACATTTTAAATCTCTCCGACACCGCCTCACCCCGTCGACACCTTTTTGGTAAAAAAAAAACTTTCCAGACATAATTAGAGACTTTTAGATTGACGTTTACGGCAAACGTCAAACCGCTAGCGAGGTTTTTGATTTTACAACTCTATTATAATAGCTTTTACACCAGTTTTGTAATATGTTAAACTTATTAAACTTGTGCTCTTTAGCAATAATTTAAGAAAGCAAATTAACCACTAGTCATGCCATTCCCCAAAGCAGTAAATTAAGATTTGGCGTTTGAAGTTGACGTTTGGCGTATAGATTTCATGCTTGAACTGCTACGAGGGCTTGTAGTCGTTAAAGCATGAAATTTATACGCCAAACGTCAACTTCAAACGCCAAATCTTAATTTACTGCTTTGGGGAATGGCCGATGACTAGTGGTTAATTTGCTTTCTTAAATCATATTAAAATATGTTATATTCACTTACAGGTGAATCGGCTAGCCGTTTTGTCGAAGTTAGTGATAAAGAAATAAGCTAAATTAAAATAAATTCAGACAAGAAAAACACAAAAAAACTTGTGCAAAAATACTAAAACAATTATTCGCCTCAGGCCATAGATACTTTGTTAATTGTTTTGCTTGCTTCGACTTGTAAATTATTTTGAGTCAGGCACTCAGCGTAAGGTTTAGTAAAGATTTAAGCCATGTAAAGGCCATAATTTAGTGTATAAAATAACGTGACTGTACTTCGTGCGTTGTTCACTCAATGGACTTTGACCACTGTAAGTTCTTTATTTTATTTTATTGTAAAGTTTTGGTTTCTTTATAGTTTAATACTGTGTATACAATGTGGTAAATGCGCCTAGCAGTATTAGACTTAGGGAAGCCTCACATATCGCGATCGATTTTTTCCACGAGAAACGTCATATGTTCGTTTGGGGGGAGGTCGGGAATCTTCGAGTTAAGCCCTTCGAGTTAAGCCCCTCGAGTTAAGCCCTTTTCGAGTTAAGCCCCGACCACGCCCTGTTTTGCCAAGACCACGCCCTTTTTCAAAAAGGGCTTAACTCGAAGAACGAAACACGATTTGGGTTATTCGAGTTAAGCCCCGGGGCTTAACTCGAAGTTTGACAAAAAAGTTGTTGCTCGAGTTAAGCCCCGACTTTTGAAGTATGTCAACGAGTGCAATATTAAATTGTCAAATTTTCAATGCAAAAAAGCCAAAGCACAGAAATTTTCCCAAAAAGAACTTATATATCGCTAATGTAATACGATTATCAAAAACAAACACAACTATTATCGTATTTTAGGTATATTTTAGGTTTTTCATATTAAATTACTCAGAAAGGTCCCTCAAAGAAACGAAGGCCCTTCACATGTCCTGATACAAGATTGCTTAACTGAGAAAATGAATCCTAGCTGCGTTATTGCCGGATAAAATGGAAATATAAGTGTAATACATTGTAGAACACCGCTTCTCCCGAGTGGCGCTGGGCCCAGGGCCGGAGATACGGGGTGTGTGTGTGTGTGTGGGGGGGGGGGTGACACCACCCAGAAATTTTATTCAGTCGGCAGGACTGCTATTCAGTCGGTAGGACTGCTATTTGGGTTAAATATTTCCGCGCAAAGGGCAAGATATTTGGGTTTTTTGGGTAAATTTCCGAATTTTGGTATGAAAAATTGAGGTAAAGTCACTGGAAAGCATTTGCATGGGGGGGGGAGGTTGTTGGTCTCCGAAAAAAAAATTCTCGCCCGGGCTCCCGTCAACCTCTCGGCGGCCCTGTTCGTCAGTCAGTTGAAATGACCTTACATCCCCCCGGCCTGAAGAATTCCCTGAGGACGGCCCTGGCTGGGCCTATGGCATATGCCGTTTAAGTATGTACGTCACCATGCAATAGCGGTAACTAAAACAGCCCATGAATTAAAACCGAGAAAATTGTTTTAAAAATACAAACGGTCGTCGAAACTAAACGTTTCCGGCCCTGAAAAATGATTTGTCAGGTGTAGATTGACCCTTGAGGTACACCGGATTGATCAGAGACTACATCTACCGGCCGGATTGGAATGAGTGCCGTTAATAGATATGACTTGGGTGCGTTTGACAGAAATGCATTAATCCAATTAGCGGTTTGGTCACGTATACCATAGTATTTTGCCTCGTTAATTAATCTTTGATGTGGGACTGAGTCAAAAGCTTTAGAGAAATCTAGAAGGATAACATCTGTCTGGACATTCTGATTTAAACACTTGGCCCACTCATTGATCACTGTGAACGGTAACGAAATGAATGCAATGAAATTGAGGTAATGAAAAGATGGCCAGGACTAGTATACCATTTGCTACACGCATTACGCACCCATAAATAACCGACTCGTT